TCTGTTCTGAGTCAGGCCTGGCCTACACAATTTTACATCATTTAGCCACCTCTATTGAAGAAGCTATTTTCTACAAAAAATACTTAAAGCAGTACCAATCATATTTGGTATATGGTTGTATTGATATGAAGGTGTCTGATGCTGGTCTAGCTGATTTTCAAAAGGAAAGCAGAATAAACTAACAGGTATAAGGGGGCTTTCCACTTGCTTATTTGCATCCACTCAAGGATAGGTCTACTTACTCCGCTGACATAAGTAAAGTGTATAATTATAAGCAGACAAGCTTTTAATAATTCAAAATGCAGATCACTTGGAATATATTGTAAACTGACGATTTATGCATAAAAACAATTAATATAGACAGGATCTATCGGGATATGAGGGGGGATTTATTTCCCTTTTTTAATTACTTTTTTGGCAGTATTCAGATCTGCATGAAAAGCGAGCTCTGAAAAATGTTTCAAATTTCAAGCAATGCGTGTCTGTGATACTTCATAGTTAAAATAGGAAATTTCCTCACATACTAAGGTAAATTTAATTATAATGAGTAATAAACTTTGATGCTTTTACAACTGTACCCACTGTATCTCTGAAATCAATTATGCTCATTCTTGAAATTTCAAATGGCTGAAATAATTCAGTAAAACTTACTCTCAGTGCAATCACTAATATTATAAAAAGTATATCATCTGCTTGAGCTTCAGCCACTGTTTTATTACAAATGTATTTTACTACCTGCGTACAACCAAGCAGCAAGTCATAAAATACACTACATTTTCTTTCATTGTGTTGTCTTTATAAAAACAGGTATCTCAGTGTCTTTCCATTCTAGAATTCTTATATAACTCAACTCTATATTACAGAGAAAAAGCTTTAAAAAAAGCTTTTAAAAAATCTCCAATTATTTCCTAGCCTACTTTAAAATGTAGTGACAAAAATCAGTGTAACTATCTCTAGAACTAAAATAAATCTAACTTCATTCTGGTATATGAATCAATGAATTGCATCTGAAACTGATGTAGTCTCTCTTTTTTGTACTAAGTAAATTTTCCGAATACAAACTATATTTTTCCTCTAAGCACCTCTTTTTTATTCCACTAGCAGCAAACCTGTAGCCTGTAATCTATAAACTGCTTTGGCTTAATGAGTTTTTCCCTTCAAGACTTTCTAGAGTTCATCACCTCATTATCAATACCAGCGGCTCTCCATTGGAGTGTCCGGTGTGGCCAGGAAGGGCTGTGGCACACTTGCCTGCTGCTGCCTACATTACAGTTCTCTGGATAACCCCAAACCAGGCAGGAGCCCCTGTTCCCAGTCCAACCCTTCCTAATGTCTGCCAGGAATACAGGCGCACAATGCAGATGGACCTATCCCATGCAGGAGGATCAGGGGGTGGACTGGATCAAAAAGGACAAGGTTGTGCCTTGCAGAGCCTGTAAGACCCTGTGCAGTGACCAGCATTGGATAGACAAGGTGGCATGGCTAACTAAAGCGTACCAGACCTGCTGCCCCCAAATACACCTGCTTTGACAGGAGGACCAGAGCATCCTGGTTCCATGAAGCAGTGGCTTCGGCTCTCCTCCATGGCTGGTCACAAGGGTCAGCTGACTCTCGGGAGCAGCACATGCAGGAGAGCAGACAGTTGGAGGAAGAGAGACAGGTCCTTGCAGGAGAAGCTAAAGTTCACTGGAGACCTTCCTCAGCATACAGGAGGTGGGAGCCACAAGGGGAACAAATTCAAGCCTAATTCATGCTGCCCTGGCCAGTATTAAGCACAGGAAGGAGCAATCCTCCACAGGACACCAGTGCAGGGTCACAGCTGCAGGATTTTTCTCAAAGGCAGCCTACCCTTTCATCAACCAAAGCCCAGGAAGGGACTGAGGGTTCGTAAAAAGCAGGGTAGAAGGACCTCAAGAAAACCTCCTGTCCCATCTGTTTTCTCTGCCTGCTGCTTCGTGTTATTTTAAAAAAAGCAGCTGAAAACTGGGGCTGGGATCCACTGGAGAGAGGGCAAGAGAGTGAAGTGATCCTAGAGAGGGAGAGAGGCAGGGAGGCAAGGGATTCTGTCCCTTGTCACAAATGATTCAGCGCCCTACTTGCATACAGACGCTCTGATGCTCAGAGAGCAGAAGCTCAGCAGGTCTGAAAAATCAGGTCCCGTTCAAGTATCTTATCTGAACCCTGCAAAAACCTACAGGAGCCAGAACAATGGTTCTCAACCTGGGCTTCATGCACCAAAGCAAACACAGGCAAGGGCAGGTGCAGGCATATCTCCCTTACACAGAGAAAAGGAGAGGCCTCCACCTACATCCACAGAGGATGCCGCTAAATTCAGAGAAATTATGGAAGGGCTAAAAAACACCAATCTATCCTGACCAGTTCTCTCTCTCTCACATGTGTTTACAGTTTTTCACTCTCATTTTTGCTACCCAACCCAGGACACGTATTCAACCAAGTCTTCTCTAAATTCATGTAAATATCCCAACCCTGCGAAAAGTAGCAAACTCCTTCAAATACTACCTTATTTCAAAAGTAATACCCTCTTCTGTCATCTATGAAAGTATCTGTATTCTCTAAAATACACGTTAGTGTCTCAATCACTTCTGCTCATTATTATCATTTTTTCCTAAAGCTTTTATAACTTAGCCATAGGCTTTAGTGGGCACAGAATACCTCATATAAAATACTGTCTCATTCCAAGAGCAAAGCTATATCATCACTACTACATCCTTTGGTGCTTTCAATAGCTTCAGATGAGTCTTCAAACCCAAACAGGATTTTCATCATTTTCTTTCAAACTTGCTTTGACACTTTTCACCACTTGGCTCAAATTTGTTCATATTTTTTTCTCCACTATATGAAACTTTCATTAATTGGGAAGAATATTCTCCAACATTCCAGAGAAAAAACTCTCCAAATATAACATTAAAAACCTTATTTTCAGTGTTTCAGACTAACTGTACTGTCTTTTATGAGAATGAATATCAACAGGACCAAAAATACATATACATTATCCAAAGAAAAAGAAAAAAGAAAGTATACCACAAAAGGTAAATAAAACCCTCAATGAAAAAAAGAACAAAAACAAAAAATACACTTTTGACAAACCTACTGCAATAAAAAAATTGGAAAAAAATGACAAAAATTATTAGAACTAAATAAGTGAGAATTTAAGAAGAAGAGTAACACTGAAATGAAAAGGTCAGGAAAAGGTCAAAACCTACTCTGAAGCTGAATCCATAAAAATAAATTAGGTGAAAACACAGGAGAGCTATCAAAAGTATGGATAACCAAATGAACTCACAAACAAGGGGGTGTGCATTGTTCTATGAAACACAGTACCTTGGTATTCATCAGGGTGTTGTTCATATTCCAAACAAAATGTCAAAAATTTCATTAGCATTCTCTTTTCTATCATAGTGAGTTGTTTGCTATTGAAGACATCTGCTCGGGAACAAGGTACCTGGAAAATAATAATTTTAGTAGTTTTTCAAATGGAAGGAAGAGCAGGATAGATGGAGGCTGTATTTATTATACTATCTATTTAGAAATCTTCCTAAACACAAGAATATTCCAATTATTTGCATTTATTTTCCTGTTCCATTATTTCCTTTCATTTCTAATACAATCTTTGCCAAATGCAGGGCTAATTAATTTAGAACTCCACCAAGTAATTATGTTGCCATTATTAGGCTAATGGTATTTCCCTTGTAACCAGGAACTAATGACATATCAAGTCTAGCTCTGCATTTTGGAAATAAAACGCTCCTCTTTAAGATCCAGCTGATGAGTCAATAGTAGTTTAAATATCTGACATAATCATAGTCTAGGACACTGGTCTATTCAGTTCCACATTCCTATTTTAGTGGAATAATCTTTAATTTATGGCATGTACAATTGTAATATTTCCTTACCATAACCAGAATGCAGATAAAGACATTTTCCCACAAAAAAATAACAGCTTACAGCAGCAAAATGTCTCATGAAAATCAGTTTATATCTTTTCATATTTAAAAAAGGAATAGATTCAGCTAATATACCACATTCTTCTACAGTACCTGTTCCACCTTTCCTTCTCGAAATACAAGGATCCTAGTTGCATTTTTGAACTCTGCATATCGGCTAACATTCGACTTTATTAGGAGGTCAATTAACAATCCCTGGGAATAAAGCACCTGTACAAACAAACAAAAATATTTTTGAGGATAAAGAAAAACAAGTACTTGCATTAAAACATAAGTCGCTTCAACTATATTGTTTCATAGTTTCTCTCTCAAAAGAACTCTGAAGTTCCACTTGAAATAAGAGGTTATAAGGAAATGCAAAGACCCCAGAATAAAACAAAACTGTGTCGAAGAGAGCGATAAAGAAGTAGCTAACAGGAGAGCACTCCTTTCCCCACAGAAAACAGGCTCCTCCCCACTAATTACATAGCTTCATTAGCATGGCAAGGCTCACCTGGAGAAATAGACATCTTGGGTACAAGTGCTTGCAGAGAAGCTTGCTTCTTTACTACAAGGACAAGTTTCTATCACACAAAACTGCAGCTTGAGTTCAATTAACATTTCTGGCTTTCAACTGAAGTATCATAAGTTAAGATTTCTTTGCACACCACAGTAACAGCAATCTTCTCCAGTCACTGGGACTGAAAATTTCTTTCAGAGTATTACCATCAGCCACTTCTTTTTCTCCCCCTGTAACCTATCACTGACCATCTTATCCTCTTATGATTTCATGTATCATCTCTACATTAATTAACTCTTCTCCAAACATCACATGTATGCACGCCAGTTGCTCAAAATCAATATGACCAAGCCCAGTATGACCTTTTCTCCCTTCAAGCCCTTCCTCCCACCACACTGTGACAACCACATTACTCCACTATCCAGGCACATAACCTGGGTCAGGGGTGGGCAATTATTCCAGCTAGAGGGCCACTCAATGAGTTTTGGTGAGCTGTCGAGGGCCACAGGGGTAGCCCTGCCCCTTGACAGATGCTCCGCCCCCTGAATGCCATCTTGGGACTGGAAGTCCCAACCCTGCCCCCTGACCTCTGTCACTGGAAGTCAGTGACAGAGGTCACTGACTTACGCCGGAAGTACTCCTTTTGGAAGGGGCGGGGGTTGCCACCTTGAAACCAGAAAAGAAGAACAAATCATATGCTAAAAAAAATCAAAATCAAACATGTACTATAATTTATTTTAATTTTATTTAAAAAATATTTTGCCCTGATTTATGTGCATTTTCATAGTGTATCTAGAGGCAATTACATAATAGCTCAAATACAGTCCTATTCTTTTATACTGTGTGGTGGGGTGTGGGGGCTGCAGGGTATGGGTACGGGAGGAACTGTGTGGGGGCTGTGGGACTATGATGGGGGGTTGGAGTGTGTGAGGGCTATGGAAGCGTGTGGGTGGGTGTGGGTGTGTGTGTGTGGGGGGGGTGGGGGCTGGAGTGTAAGAGTTCCTGAAGCTGCATGTGGTGGTAGCGAGCATGGCCAGCTCTGCCTGGCCCCACAGTGCCCAGCTCCCTGCACTCCCACCCCAGTCCCTGGCTTCAGGTGCTGGCAGTGTGTGGGGCCAGCCCCACCTAGCCCAATAGCTCTCCTACCCAAGTCTCCAGCCACACATGGTGGCAGGGTGTGGGGCCAGCTCCACCCGGCCCCATAGTGCACAGCTTCTATGTTCCTACCCAATCCCTGGCTGTAGGTGGCAGAAGCATGCGGGACAGGCCCCACTGGGCCCATAACACGTAGCTCCCACCCAAGACCATGGCTGCACGTCGGCAGCATGTGAGGCTAGCCCCACCTGGCTCAATAGCACTCCTCTGGCCACACAGGGTAGCAGTGTACGGGGCTCCATAGCGCACAGCTCCTGCACTTCTGCAGCATGGGAAAAACCCTGCTTGGCCCCATAGAACGCAGCTCCCCACACTCCCACCCCATTCCCCCTGCAGGAGTCCCTGGCCCCAGCCCAATGGGGCCCTTACCTGCATTTCCAGGCTCGCAGGCGGGGAGGGCTGGAAAAAGCCTTGGGGTAGCCAGGCACAAGCTCTGCCAAGCAACGGCTTCCTGTCTCTAATGCCCCCTGGCTTGGGGCTGGGGAGGGTCAGGCCAGGCTGGAGTGCGGCGGGTGTTGCTTAGCCTCCAGAGCTGCATTTCCTGCATGGAGGCAGCCAGGGCTTACAGAGGGGCCCCATGGGCCAGGTGGAATTGCCTGGCGGGACAGATCTAGCTGACAGGCCATATTTTGCCCACCTCTGACCTAGGTGCTATCTTTGATTCAATCATCTTTGAAGACCCACACACATCAAGACTACTTTAATTTTGTCTTTATGACACCCACCACAGCATGTGACACCCACCTAGCTCTGTTAAGGCTTTTACATACTACCATTATGAAAAATAATAAACTTTGTATTACATTTGTTTTCTGTAACAGATGTTCTCATGTAATGTCTACAACAATGTATTTGTCTGAAATTACTTGTGCTCATTTCAAACTATATAAATTAAAGTTACTTCTTTCTTCCTTTACAAGAGGTATATCATAATATGATGGGCAAACGGCTCTTTTGTTTCCTTCCTTTTGCCCGCTCCTAATGACCAAAACTTATGAAAAGTCTCTGTTAATAAAGCTTCTCTATTATTAGAAAATGCATCAGAAAAGCATTTCTCATTTGCCTTATTTTATGTCTGTAATTGTTTTCCCCCTACATCTGGGATTTTCAGTGTCTTTATACTTTACAATTTTAATGCTTTGAAGGATATTAAGACAGTTAGTATAAAGGATGACCTACCATTTATAGTATGTGTTTTCTTCTTTAACTGTGTATCTTGTTCCTCGAATACCATACTTCAAAATCTATCCCAAATGTGTTTTATACTTCCTTTTCTTGAATAAGCAATTTCTACTTCCATCTTTCCCTTTATGGGAAATATTTAATTTTTAATGTCTTAGTTCCCAAAATACAGGCATTTTTAAACTTGCTAATTATAAGTACCTCAAAGTTTTTTCAAACTTTTTCAGTCTCCACTATTTTTTCACTTAACTGATGAGTATAGCTGATTCTTGCTTTCTTTGTATAAGCTATACATTTATTATACATTGCTGGATGGACATAACTGTAACTACTAATTCAAAACAGCTTACTAAATTAAAAGCACTGAAGAAAGTTTTATATCTAGTGTTACTAATCTAAAATTTTTGTAGTCCTGAATGTAGGAATCTACAAAGTGCCAATGGAGAGGCAAAATCCCTATTTGTTACAATTTCAGATTTCCAAATTTGAAAACCAAGCCTCTGAGATAAAAGTGTAAGTGTACATTTGCCCATGGTGGGATGGGCATGCCTTTAAGAGCCCTTGTGCTAAAAATGAACTGCTGCAAGTTAGTGGAAATTTCGGTTGGCACTTCCCCAGTCTGCCTCTCTCCCCAACCAGTATTCTGCCCTTTTTATCTACAATTACCTTATAATGGCTCCTAGGGTTAGAGTGCTGCCTCTAAGGTTATCTTTTGAAGTGCATCTCCCTGAATAGCATAAAAAGCAATCAAAATGGATATATGCACAGGTTGTACACGCTGCCAATCATGACCTCTAGCATTTTGCAGGATCAGTATCACATACTGTAGATTTGCAAAGTGTACCCTAGGCTCTGGAATACATGACATAAAATGTATCACTGAAACGTAATATTCACTATTTTGGCTACTATAACTTTATTGTCATAAAAGCTTAAATATCACTGATGGTACAGAATAAGAAAGTCTAAATATGTAAGTTCAGAGTGTGACACATTTGGCAAATAACATTTCTGGTCATTTCAACTCCGATAATTTAATAGGCTATTGATTAAAGACAACTTCTTTTCTAGCTTTCAGAACTCTATTTTTCCAAACTGAACAATAAAGAAAAAATTCCGCTCAGACTTAAAGAGTCTTGCTTTTCACACAGTCCACTGAAGTAAAAAAAAAAAATCTTATCAACATTATAAAAGAACTTGTAGCTGTAGGTGCAGATGCTCACACATCAGCAACAGATTTCCTTTGTAAAATATATATTTCCTCTATAAATTACACGTGTGTGGGTGCGCACATGCACAAGCACATACACATAGAGTCTGTTACTGTCTACTGGACAAAGAACATTGTTTTGAAATCTGAGTGTTTGGTAAGCAAATCAGATTTTGAGAAACCATTCTCAAAAACAGGACAAAGTAAGAATTCAGAACGGTAACAACAACATCCAATTTCATTTAGCTTAATAGTTACATCAGGGACTAAATGCATTTAATTTTTATTTAAATAGACAAATTATTACAATCCAGCATGTCAGTGTGCTGACAATTAAGAATTCCTTCATTAATGTTTGTTACTGAAGGAACATAAGAGCCCCATAGTATCAGATTTCAGGTTGAGTTTGAGTTCAGGAAAGGGTAGTTAGATATTTCTTTAAGTGCACTAAGTGAATTTGATTTGAAAAAAATATTCTGTATCTTGAAAACAAAGGTTTGCACCTAGGTGAAGTTTCTTTGTTAAACTGTTTTTATTGAAGAATTTAAGAAGAATAGAACTAAATTTAAGAACTCTTGCTTAAGCTCTCAGTTGTAGGAAAATTTGCTTTACTCCTATGTGAGCTATGCTTTATTTGGTTGTTTTCGTTAAGGACAGACATAAAAATACATTGTGCTACAGTGCTGAAGACACTTTTTGTAAAGAGAAACTATTACATGCTCACTTACTTAGAGCCTAAGTCTTATGCGCCCACAATGTTGTTATGACCATCTTTTTAACCCCTTGAATGTCTAAGTTTATTCATTTTTTTCACTGAAGTAAATGCAATTCTATGAAGAGATCGCTAATTAATTCTTACCTTGGAAACTAAATCAATATTAAATCGCCTGCCTTCTTTAACAATTTGGGAGTAGGTAATTTTCTTTGGTTCCAGGTTAGAAACTTCAGCTGTTGATGCATTCTCAGTTTTTTCTGTTTCCAAAGTAGAATGGCCAGAAGTTGCATCATAGGAACTTTCTCTTTCAGAGATGACCTCTGTATCTTCCCCTTCTGGTGTACACTCTAGATCATTACTTGCAATTGTTTCTGGAGACATTTCACAGCCCTTGGTCCCTAATTGTTTATCTAGAGCCAAGCACCCTTTTTCAGATTGCTGAGCAGTCTCATTAGTATCAGAACCTCCCAAGTCAGGCAGTTTTGACAACGCACCAGCTTCTTCAATATCTTCAGCTGAATCCTGACTGATTAGAACACAAAAACAGAGATTTAAAAACTTGAAGTTTGAGCCAGTGCAAGAAATGAAAAACTTCAGGAACATTTTAATTAAAAGCATTAAATTGAACCACCTGATCCAAATCAGGTCTTATTTGGAATGGCTACGATACTCTGCTGCTTTCACTCTAAAGTTGTAACTCACGAGGGCTACACTTCTGCAAATCAAATAACACACTTGAAATCCCTGTTTCTGCATAAAACTAAGACTGGGTGTACCTACACATGAATTTAAGCACACTTAAATTTGATGCACATTAAGCTAACGTGCATTAAGCATTTTTTGGCAGGTGTCTACCCATGGTGAACGTGCCCGTGTGGCTGCCAGGAGGAGCTCCAGCCTTCAGATGCAGGGCTACCAGCACTTGGCAGCTATGCCGAAGGCAGAGCCAGCTGCCAGCACTTGGCAGCCATCTTGAAAGCACACCCTCTACACTGTGACCTCTGGGCTGACAGAGCAGCAGCATCGCAGAGATGCAGCTGCCCTGCTCCTGCCTCAGCTGCACTTCCCAGCCCTCGCTGCCCCAGCTCCTGGCCCTGCGGGGCTGGGGCCAGACACCAGGTGTCAGGGGGCCTGTACGTCGCCTCCAGGGGCTGGCCTGACTGGCCAGTTGCTGCTGAAGCAGCTCCACATGGCGCTGCTCCAGAGCCTCCAGCTAGGCCCAGTGCTCCTGCTGCACCGTCCCATGCCGCCTCCTGGGCAAGATCTTCCTCCCACCAGGCCAGCTCCCACACCTGCTCCCATACTGCCCAGTTCTCCACCACTGCTACCAACCGTTGAAGCAGGGGGGCCCAAGTCCCTGGTGTGCACAGCCAGCGCATCCAAGTGGCTTCGGCAGTGGGTTGTGGCAACCCTGATGTGCACTCCCACAAGGACCTGAAGCCTCTCCCCCGCACGCAGATGTTGGGACTGCAGAGGCAAAAACTCTCTTTTGTGAGAGTTTGCAACATTTCAGAGATGAGATACTCTGCACCAGAGTTCATGCACTGCACAGCCTCAGATCAGAGGTTGGCCATGCATGGGTGCCCAGGGACCATGTTAAGCTGTCTGGGCAGGGCTGGGTCCAGGTGGCTGCTGGACAAGCTGCCTGGCCCCACTTGTACCACTGGGACTGGTGGGCCACTGGGTGCTGGCCACTGGCTCCAAGCAGCCTACCTCCCCTGCTCCCCTCCCAGGGCCAGATAGGCCAGGCTGCTGGCAGCACCTGCTGGCACAGCTCCAGACCCCGCTCCCTCCCTTCTCTCTGCAGGCCAGCCACTCTGCCATGCTGCCACCCAGTCCATGGCACCTGGGCTCAGGGCACATGGGGCTCCCAGAGCCTACCAGGCCCCCGTGTGTCCCCCCTGGATAGGACCCATGCAGCCTTTGCCCGTCCTGTCCCTTTGCTGGAGCTGCTCCTTGGCCACACGTGAGATTCGCCCCACCTGCTCCCTGCTGTTTTGTACCCCCAACTCTGTCTCTTTGAAGGCACTGTGGTAAAGCACCTCTGCCATGTGGCTCACAGTCCCTGCCTGCGCCCCTGTCCAGGGTGCTGCTGGCAGCCCTCCAGGGCCAGCATCACAGGGGCAGCCTCACAGGGGCCCAGAGAACTGGTGTGGGGAGCATGTCCAGCACAATGTCCCCATCAAGCCTCAGCTCTGCCCATGTGTCCATGCCCATCCCAGTGCCTGGATCCCCAACTGGACCTGGGAGGTGGTGTGCGACCTTGTAACGTGGGGTGAGGGGCTGGCCCTACCCCTGCTCTCCCCACTGGGGGCCTCTCTGGGGAGGTGCTCCAGGTCTGGTCCCCCCTGCATTGCTGCACTCCTGCATGAAGCACTCTGTGCTGTGTGCCTCAGAGCACAAAATGGCTGGAGGCTTTTATAGCCTGCAACTAGGGGCTGCCAGACAGCAGCCCAGCCCTGGAGGAAGAGAGGCGGTCAAGCCAGGAGGCCTGGGGCTGGGCTATGGCTGGCCCCTAGTGGCTGGGGAGCCCCAGAACTAAGGTCCCTGCATTAACATGCATTAATATATCTACATATGCATGAATGCGCTTTAACTAATTGTGCCTAAATTTGATGCTTGCTTTACACCGGGATCAAATTTAGGTGCAATTAGCCTAAAATCACCATTTTTAAGGTGCATTAAGGGTGTGCATGTGTAGCCTTGCACCCTTAATGTGCTTTAAATCGGGCTAATGTGCCCTAAATGCTCGTGTGTAGACACACCCACTAAGATTAATATAAAAATTAATACCTACAGCTATCAAACTGATAAACAGCACTGCAGATATTTACCTAAAGTAGAGACCATTCATACCACCTGAGAAAGTAGGCTGTAGCTTACAAAAAGCTTATACTTTTCTAATCAAATCTGCCTTTAACATGATACCCCCTGCCTTCTGCCTGACTTCGGACTAACATGGCTAACTAGCTCTCTAAATTACAACATGTTATTAAAAATAAACATCCATTAAAAGATAACCTGAAGCGTTTTATTTTTTACCTATGAGTATGTAAAGCTGCTTTAACATCCCAGCCATTACATCACTGAAAATAACTGAAAAACAAATTCATTTCTTCATTTGAGAAAAGTCATTTTGTCTCTAGGAGTCTATCATCTCTTCAGGAATTATGGGAATTTGGTCTGAAATTTTAGCCTATAAGAACTTTCAGTTTACTTATTTAGCTTGGATGCCAAATTTCACTAAAAACGTGGATCAGACTGCAGGATATAATAACTAAACATACATAGATCACACTTTTTTCTTGAATCCCATTCATAAGGGGTTAATGCTAAATGAGTAACCAATTATCACAGACTAACAGAACACAGTAAGACAATATGTGGCTTATAACCATATTTTATACTCATCTCAAATGTCTTTGATATAAACTATTTACAATACATACTTATTTCTAGAAAATGCTTCTCTCACACAATCATTTGTTAACCCATTAATGAACAGAACTTTAATACATGTGGCCCCTACAGCCAAGGAAATTTTAGAACAAGTTTATTCTATAAATCTTAAGGGGTGCAAGGCATTCCATTCTGGTTCATTATGAGGTCATGCATACAACTTGTACATCTTATGAAACATGATTTGTCTCCATTTCCAATCATGCTCCCCACTGCCTCCCCCTCCCCCAAGTCCTTGGTCTTGTTTGAGTGCCACAGTCTTATTATCTTATATGTATGGTGGCAGAGCCTCATTCTTCTTTCCTCCATTTCAGTAGTCAGTTCCTGGGGTGCTGAACACGCCATGGGGGTTTAATTCAGTTTAGTTCTCCCTAAATTGAAATGATGGGTTTTTAAAAAGTAATTGTTAAGCTGCTGGCAGGTTGAGAGGTCCTTGAGTTGCGCAGGGACCCTGTGCTTCCCTCCACAGCTGTGGGGGGGGGTACTTCCCTCTGCAGCAGCACCCCCCCCACTGCACCTGCCCACTGGCACCTGGCCCGGACGGTCACAGGGGGCACCGCAGCCGTGGAGAGAAGCACTGGGCCCCCAACACAGGTCAGGGAGCCACACAGGTTCTGGAAGAAAAGAAAAAAAAAAATATATCAGGCTCCTTGCTGCATTTCTTTTCCCCCTTCAGCCAAGCCTGCCTGCATGGGCTGCTGCCAGGTTGCACAGCCCCTACGCTGTGCGGGGCTGGTGCTTCCCTCCATGGTGGCAGCACCCCCCAGGACTACGCAGGCTGGGCGCCAGCAGGCAGGTGCAGCCTGGGGAGCCCCGCAGCTGCAGAGGAAAGCACTGGGGTCTCCTGCAGCGAAAGGATTGTGCAACCCGCCAGCAGCTCATTCCCCCCACCCCGCGACAGAGGAAGGTAAGCTCCAGCACCCCTGCACTGTCCCCGCTGCCTTCCCGCCACCTGGGACTGCCTGGGAACGGCTGGCTTGCCCCTGGAGCAGAGCAGCAAGATGGTAGGAGGGCGGATGGTTGTACTGGTGGCAGGAGAAGACAGCGGGGATGGTGCTAACAGCAACGCCACTAAAGCAGAATACACAGCTGAACGTGCAAACAGCAATGCCATTAAAGCAGTGCAAAAGGGCATTTAAGCCATTTTAAAGGCCAATTCTGTGGCATGTACAAAGGCCCCTGGAACTTAGGCTTAGGCCACCTGCCACCTAGCTTTGGCTGAATGATGATTTTACTTATTATATTCCTTGCTTATCCTCAAGAAGGCTCAGAAAAAGAAGGAGACTTTCACTGAGAGGATGAGTGAATAGAGACAAGAAGGTCCCTGACACAAGAGACGCCTCACAACAGCCATAGATTCTTCCCACATTTCTCTAGCACGGGAACTTTATGAAAACCCTAGAAATTAGCCATTCAGGTAATAGCCACATGGAATATAGGCAGTTTCCTTAACTACCAAATACTCCCCACCACGCACCCCCCCCCGACAGATTACAGTTCGCAAATTAACTTAACATAAACATACATATAATCTAATCTAAGATTTATTTTAGAAAGCAGGAAATTAACTATATGTGTTTTCATCTTTACTGGCATTGTCTGTAACCTTTAGCGCAATATAATGAAAGCATGCCTTGTGCAATTCTGGTTAATCGCTAACATGAGAATCATAATGGCAATAAAGTTAGAGGGCAGTCACCACAGCTAAGTATTCTGTGTAGTTGGCCTTCTTTTTCTAATGACAACATTCTTTAAAATTCTCCTTATAAAGCAAAACTGCACATTTAATCTCATCTATCTTTTTTAGCTTGAACTTCAATATTGTCTACCTCAGCAACTAATACTTTTGAACTTAGAATTTTAGTTTATGTTACCAACAAAGATGAATGAAATCAATGTCATTATAAGTGAAAGGAGTTCAGCAATAATTTTGTATTATCTTTTTATCTTTATACCACAAGCCATTAATGCACTGAACAAACAATCTCTTCTAAGGTGAAACCTAATGAACTGTGATTTTAAAGGTGACCTATAAAGGTACAGTATCAAATAGCAGTAACTACCAAT